CAATTATTTTGCAATGTCATCATTGAAAGGGAAAGATTAGAAGTTAAAGAAAAATGGTGCTTTTGAATTATTATTATTATTATTATTATTATTATAAATGAATTATATAAATAGCTATATATATTGAGCATTAGCAGTTTTAAAGAAGGTATCGTTTATATACGTATAAGAACCACCGATAATTTTTACATTATATATTCTCATATATACAAAATTTGCTGTAACTTATACATTTCACAATAACAGTAACTGGAATGTTTGTATGCTATGTTTATAGTATAATGTATGAGGTATAACATAGTCGAAGTTTTAACCAAGGATAATACACAATAGAGATATATATGTATGTATATATATACTAGTCATCAGTCGTCCACTGGTAATATGATGCTCTTATCTTTGGCAATGTGTAATATGATTTTCTCACAGAAAATTGTCTACAATAATTTTAATATAAGGAAAACAGATATTATCTAGATAATACATGCAATGTGTATGCTAAAGGTAAATAAATGACAAATTTATAGAGTGCAAATTTAAATTACTAAATATCATCCTCAGTAACTGTCTAGACAAAATGCAAATAGAAATAAATAATTATTAACAAATATGTCATTTTAGTGCCCTGACGCTATTACAAATAGCGTTACTTTACGAAGTATGCAAGGAACTATGACAGTTATGTGCTAAAAATCACAATTTGCTACATCTATGTAAAACTCTCTTCGTCCGATTCCCAAATAATAATAGTCTATAAAAATTGAATTTTACAACAAGCAAATTACATTTTGCACGTGTCTTTGTACTAAAATTGTAGATTTAAAAGTAAGGTACGCAAGAAATGCAATGAACAATAATTATTTACAAATATGGTAATAATTTTTTAATTGACCCGTTTGCATCATGGGTACAACGACCATGTAAATTGGAGGCACGTTATGAATGCAAATAGGTGAATTGTCTATGATAAATGCGGTAAATGAAAAAGATAAAATCATAAATAATTATATTTAAATTCTCTTTTGATCTCTTTAAATTGATACTATGTTAACGGTATACGTATATATATATATATATATATATGTATATATTAATATCAATTCAACAGACATGCTTCCATATACAAATAATGAAAGGTCTATAATTGTGGTAACAAAAAGGAGTCTGATAACATTCTTGTGTTGCATTTTCAATACAAACGTAGACCGAGGCTACAGAACATGTTTCGATTAAAATAAATACACATGTAATGTTGAATATACTACGCAGCAATTTTGAAGATTAATGTTTCGCGCGCGTCGATTACCGCCGCATTTATTTAAGTCTACCACTTGTCCGCGTAAATAAATATTTCTTCTCAGCATCTATTTCCATACGCTGGATTAACAGCCTTCCAATGAAAGTCTTTGATTTATATTTTCAACCCTTACCTTCATTTCCCTGAGTACATCTTCAGCGAGGTTATCAACGCTAGTATACCTCACTTTGAAAAAATTAAATATGTCTACAAGGAATTCAATAATTTGATCTCTAAAGTAATGACACGTAGAACGTAAACTGCCCTCCGGGCCTAAAAATCCCCAGACAAGTACCGGGGAAATTTGCTCGGAAATGGAATAGAAGCATGCCAAGAATCCCTTGTCATACTTCAACATTTGTCTTTTGCCAACAAGAATGGACCAAACGGCAGTTCCAATCGCCTTGAACAGAACGGTAAGAGTTACGCGTCGGAAGAGTCACGATACAACCATAATAAACACCGGCAGCTCAAATACTCACGGTTTCACGGAAACTAGCAGATATCCATCTATTTTGTAAAATAGCTTTGATCGACGAGGACGGTTTCTCCACTTCTTCGAACGCATCCAAAAGGATGAAGTCGATAAGAATGTCGTAGAAATTCATGCATTTCACGCCCCTTCCCGTCAGCTCTTCCTCCATGATGCTGTGGTTGCTTGGATTTTGCAAGAACTCCATCATCCGTTCGTAATGTATCAAGTAATCCTTAGGATCCTGGTAGCAGAAATTTATTAGGTAAACAGATTGATTGTGACACGGATAATGGCTATCCATTCTTGGAAATAAATGATATATGTTGTGTGTACCCTGTCTGCATACATGATCAAATCACTAATGACTTGTCGACCTATATCCGCGATCCACACTCTCGCTGATGGTATGGTAAACAATTTTGTGTACGCTTGTCGCAGACAATGGACCTTGGCTAAATACTCAACGTCGGAGCCGCATTTAACTAATTCTGTGTGCAATCGTCTATAACAAAATAAGTTGCAGTTATACAACAATACGACTGTACAGAGATTTCTAGAAAAATTAAATTCATTATATAATGATTAATGAAGGTATATACCTGCAGAGGATACTTTTATCCTCGTGCTGCTTCAGCGCAGTATGGTAAAGCTTCTGCTTCTCAAAGTGTGGGAAGAACTCGGAAAATTCTTCGAACTCGCGCAGATCTGCCACCTGATGCGATTCACGATCAACGAATAATTCTATATACTATTAGCTAATGAAGCAGAAATTTGTTTGCTACTCGAGTAACTTACACCATCGCGTGCAGATTCGAACGACTCGGGAGAAGACGCGGCGTCCGCTTTGTCCTTCCCGGAGATTCGGCTACCGATGGTCGAAGGTTTATGGCTGTCCAGGCCTTCCTCGCTTTCATTGCGGAACAATACCGAGTGCTGCGAACAAACAAAACAATATACATTTTATTAGAATCCTTGGCGTTGACGATTCTGCAATATATTTCGCAAGCGTATACCGGGCGCTTAGATTCGAACGGCCAACGGTCGGAGTGCCATGAACTTCCTATGTCATAATCTCTCCTTACGTTAGGTCAAGTGACTCATTCCGCTAATTGCACCGGTCAGTTGTCATTTAAATTGGATTAATTCCCCGTACTTTTTCTTTTTTACGGGGGAAAATGAAATTGATGAGTGCACCAGAACGGAATGGCAGTGACCCCGACGCCGGCAGGATTCCGCGCGCGCGGTTAGAATGAAAAAAGGGGGAAAAGGAAAAACAATGTTCACGTTAGTCAGGAGTGGAACCGTTAACGATCAACCTACTTTCTATGAGTCCGTGGTAAAAATAATTGTCGATAACGAATGCTTAAAAAGTGGAATCGCGGTGCCAGCTGGGTGAACCTGACAAGTGTCCGACGTTACGAAACGAGAAAATTAAAAAGGGAGAAAAAAGATGGAATAATGCAGCTGATAAAACAGATTCGTCTCGGTCGACGGCGGCGAGAGGGAGAAAAAAAGAAAAGCACGGTCGGTAAATTCGCGCCTACCTGGTCGATAAAGAGCAGTTCCGCGTGGGTCTGGATTTGATAACCCATGTCGAGGAGCTCTTGGACGTCGTGCGTGAACGCTGCATCCGCCTTGGACGGTAACGCGAGCGTGTCATTGCTGAGAGAAGAGCTGAACGCCGTGAGTGCATCCTCCCAGCAGTACAGAGCCTTTTCCAGCGCCTCCAGACCTGCATCGTTTAAGGTTCAAATCGTTTTACGTTTGTCAATTTTCATTTTATCCCTCGGAGGACTGAGCGATGGCGCGTGCCATCGCGAACAATGAATTCGAACGGGCTTAATTCGTTCTCGGAAACAGCTTTCGGACGACCACGACGACGACGACGACGACGACGACGAGGAGGACAGGAAAGAGAGTCACAAACCAGTGACTACCACTTCGTTGCTCGTTAAATTGAAGCTCATGTATTTTTCTGCGATGAATGAGTTAGTCGTTGATGTTTCAGCATCGCCACGAGATTTGCTCCAGAAACAACGGAACCCTGTATTCTAGGTTATCTACTGAAAGTTAGCCTGTCAATTGGAACAGATTCGTTAGACGGTCTCGTAGCCAGCTTCGCGTTTCGGTAACTCTTTTTTTCGATCTCGATTGATGTCACGATATCTGTACTTTGGGAAATGAAGATATTCGTTTAAAAATCTCGTGTTACCGTTTATTACAACAGAATCCCGCATTCGGTCCAGATGAACGGATTAGGATTTTTTTCCCACGACCGAGAATCCTCTTGCCGACGAGTTTAATCGATCGTGAATTGAAAATTATCGCGACTCGTGAAATTCATTGGCCGATTCGACGGTGTACGTTTCAGTAATGTTTGAAAACATATCTGTTACGGTTCTATTGCAGCCACGGGAAGGAGAAATACACAGATACGAAGGATAAACTGCTGGTCTCGAAGGAATTATCCGATTAACTCGACCACTGCGCAGTTAAGATTTCAAGCATTGCCTCCTTCGACGCTGCAAACAGGGTTTTCTCAGTTTACTGCCTTCGTCAACGTAATATCTGCGTTCTCAATCTCGGACGTGTACACAGATTCAGCGTGTCTCTCTTTGATCTTTATTGCGACTCGCGCCCCTTTTTTTACGTCGTATCGATATCAATCGCTGACACTGTTACATCAACGATTAGTCGATTTAAAAAAGGACACCGGCGACGTTCGATAAACGGCTCGCGTTATCGTTCGAACTTGGTTATTTTGCAAACGACGTCATGCATCACTGCAAGCCGAAGCAGCGTTGAAGCATGTCAAGTGTTAAGTCGCGTTATTTAGCGTACAACCGTGTCAAAATAATTAATTAACATGCTTAATGTATTCCGCGAGGCGGCGTGTTGTCAACGGTGTAAATAAAGCTTTGAGATACGAGCGTAATCGTGTCCAAGATGCCATTGGTGTTCACGAACAGAACTTTCAATCGAATCCCCGATAGCCCATTTGTCCGATACATAACCTTTCAATAACAGAGCCACAGTTACGAGCAACACAGAGAAGGATAGATGGACCGGACACTTTCACTTCTACCTCAATTTAGACACCGTTCCAGGCATGCACGCTGGACCTGGGCCCTCCTGTCTGTTTGCATGGAAGATGAGTGTCGTCACAGACGGAACTTTCTATGAAATAACCGTTTTTCGTAACTGGTTTTTTTTTCCCGCGATTTCTATTGTCGTTCGGTACGGCTGGAGAGATATCCCATTTAGCGACACAGTTCTAAACGAGATCATAGGATCAACGGGACGACCGGTCGAGTTGCGACAAATGTTTACGTGAAATATCGTTTGAAATATAATTGAAACGGATAGTTTCGTTCGGGTTGTCGTCCCGGCTCGCTTTTCCGACGACTCTAACCCAGACGGGAAGAGGAAGCAACGTCGCGACTCGGCACTTGGCACTCACACAAGTGGCAAAGGTAAGTTCAACGACTGATTTTGCAACGGCAGAAGATTTACAAATGAGAGACCCTGTTGGCTGGCGTGTCGGCCAGTCAGCGGAGTGTAAGGGGTTGAGAGCACCTACTTAACGTTGTCACTGTCACAGGATTTGAATTCCGAGTCGGTGACGACACTCGTCCCGTGTTCCACGTTTCGTCACTCGTTTGGCCCACGCAGACGAAAACGTCAGGACGGAAATCAACCGGCCCTATCAATTACGAAGGACATCATCCGCGAGGTGTGACCGTTATTTTCGATCTGGGACGAGGATAAACTTTGCACGTATCGGTGGTTGATTTCACGATTATCTTCCCGTAGAATACCGTGGAACCCGATGAATCAAGCGTGTAACAATAAAGTTACAAAATCTAAATGAACTCAGTTCGACACGGTTGAATATTCGTCCTGTAAAGCAGCCAGCTAATGTTCGATGGTTCGGTTCTCATGTTCCATTAACGAGTCTTTTGCGCATCTGCTATTCGCAGAATAATTGGAATGATCGATCCCATTATCATTATCGTCGTCAACGGATTTCGCCGGAGCGGGTCGCACAATGTGCAGGCGCGAATGTGTACAGATCCGCGTGAGCGAGCTAAAGAGCGTAGTAGCGGTTATTATCGACACACGTCGAGTTCCCTTGAAAGATGCGACGAGTGCGTACAGGTACGGACAATACGGGGTACGAAGGGGAGAATGAATGGACCGTTTCCCTTCGATCGGAATTTTGATTTTTATTTAAGGGTGTCTTAACTGCCACTGCCCGGAGCGAGAGAGGAGGGTGCACGGCCACGGAGGGGAGGAGAGAAAAAATATGTGCAACAAAGGGAGCGAAGCTGGGGTGTTTCCCAGTGACGTACCAACACGAGCGCAAATCGAAACGAGAAACCGAGGCGCGATCGATCCGCTGAATCGTTCAGCGACCAATGCTAAACAACTCGGACGATTGATGGAAAAGCATGAAATTATACGAGACGACGAGCAGTAATTCCTTTCAATCGTCAAAGCCAAACCGGTTCGGCATTTCAACTCCTCCCACTCGACGCGTATTTATTATTCTTCCGGTAACGACTGATACCCGACGGAGCCGTTCGAAATTACGTATTCGATAGACGCAACGAACGGAAAGATTTCGCTCGCGAGGGAACAGCATCCGCGGAGTAATTCGCGAGGTGTGCATCGGTAGACCGATAGGACCGATGTCGCATAACCTAAAAGTTGGCGCGAGCCGGCGCGGTGCAGGCGACTCAGTCAGCAAGTGTCCTTTGTCTTAACGAAGAGACACCGGCGACGAGCCTCGAGGAGAAGAGTGGCTTCCGTGGCCGAGCAGAGCAGCCCTCGAGAATTCTCTCGCATCCCCGGCCTGGAGGAGAGAAAGACACCCGAAAGAGTCCAGCACTGCGATGCTGCCTAGCCGCCGTCGCCGTCGCCGTCGCCGTCGCCGCCGCGCCGCGCCGGATGGCTGGCGTCAATAATACCGAAGTGACGTAATCCTTTTCGAGGTTCGTTATTGGAGGATGTGTCATCCAATAGGGAGGGGTCGACGGGGGAGCTGGGAGGCGCGCGCGGTCTCAAAGTGTGCTCCGGGCACGCGTTGCGGCATCGCGCGGTTCGTCGCGCTAGTAGTGCACCGCTGGAACCCTGACGAGCCAGGTCTCTTGGAGAGGAACGGAGCGCGCGCACGAAATCAAAGAGAGAGGAACCATACGGAACCACTGGCGAGAAACGAGAGCCAACCAACCAACAGAGCCGTAGAGTGCGTCGTAGAAGGGAGGGGTGGGACACGCACTGGGTCCTCGCGCTGGCGTCAGTTATTCGGCTTGCCGCTCGCTAGTCGGGTGTAGTGTGTACTCGCCGCTGAGGATCACGGGCCGTTGACACGCGGATTTCTTAACGAGCCACGACCGGGAAAACAGCTCGATAACGTTGACAGAATAAAAGACAGGACACCCACACCTAGTGCCACGTATACCCTACTCCTTGATGCCAGAATTCGGACCTTAGTCGGATTAAGATAATGCAATAGTAAGTACGACTGTTTCCTACTCTATGGTTATTGAACGCGTGACGGTTGGAAACGCGAGACGATTTTTCGAAACGTCGCTTCTCGATGTCTAATGTACGAGGGCTGAAACGGAGGCTCATGGGAACTGACACTTTAAGCGATCGAGTCTATTCCGAATTATTTCGAACCGACGATTATTTTGTATCGAAGGTTCGCCGATTTTTCTCCGGTAAATAGCGTGCTCTCGAAAGAGCAATCGAAGGGGCGGCCAGCCCGACGCCCGATTGATCAATTCAAACGGTAGAGGGGAGAAACGGTGGAACGAATAGATTCCAAAATATTGCGTAATTCGTGGCGGGGCGGTGTGACAGGTCGAAGGATACGCGACGCGTTCCCTAGTTTCTTTTTCGGGGGGCTACACGCTACGTGGCCACGATATCGTTCCGGGATCCAGATACGCTTCCGCATAGGTCAAGTTCAGGGGTCAATACCTCGTACCCGTTGGATCTCGAATAAAAGTGAATGCCGTAAATGTAGCAGTGCCACCGCACACCGGCAGATCGATGGAGGTGCCTGGTGCGCTGGTGAACTTGGAAATTTCCCTAGCACAGGCGCACTTCCTGCAACCGTGATATTTGCGTATTTGTTGTACCTCTCGCCCCTGTAGAACAGATGCTCGGCTGGGCACCCTTGACTTTAGAAACTGTCACAGCGTTTCCTCTTTCCCGTGCACGATACGGATCAGCCGACATGTTCGGGCATCCTGCACGACGCCGGGGGATTACGTACGAACTTTCCGTTATTATGTCATAATATATCCATGTATCACCATTATTCGGAATGCGCGTGATGACCCATTAACCGCCTGGTCCGTAACGTATATGCAAACGAGTCAAATTTCTTTATCGTCACCGAGCATGGAAAGAAACGGTGAGAATTGAAGAAATCGGCGAGAAGGGGAGTTGAAACGCTCAAGGTCACGCGTTTCCAGAATCAATTAGTGGCGTTAATCATCATCGTAAATTGTCCAGTTGATGGACATTTTTCCCTGATTTTTAGCTGTTGACGTTTTTCGTATTATAGAGTGAATATCTGATATCACCGTCCACGAAATCGAATGACGGGTGTGATGACTGAAACGTTGTCGACTTTGTCCACGCTTCGGTTCACACTACAGCCGATTTGCATGTGTGTACTCCTGGACCGGATCGCCAATGAATAATCTATTAACATCGGCATATTATTATCATTAGCATTATCAATGACGATGTTATTATAGTTTTGTACGTTTTGTATCGATCGCGCGAATGCGATTCGAAAAACAACAGGTTCGACGATAACGGACCGTTTGAAATATCCTCGCACGATGGGAACGGCTCGGCGCGGTCGCTCGCATCGATTTTCCGAAAATACGTTTCACCTCGAATTTCTCGCGCTGATGGAAACTTAATGTCGGTTAAAAATAGATGATAATGGACCCGGCGAACGGGAGCGGCGACGCTCATAATTGAACTAGTACTCGGGTTCGATTAACTTAATGAAGATGCAACGCATCCAGCGAAAACGGAACGTAATCGTGCTCGCGCGGGACACACCTATCGAATAATATCTTAATTAGTCGGATAACGTTAATTACCCGCTCCGCGTTTTCGCGGTAAATCGGTCTGCCGTGGTTTCTCGTTTTTCCATTCACCAATTTACTTCTGCGCGCGGAGAAACCCTGGGTACAATTACATTACCCAAGAACGCGTTATTATTGCTTGACACGAATCAATTAACATTATTGGATACGAGAATATCAAGAGTATCCAGTGTATATAAACCATTGCGTATATACTAATATCAATATCAATCGAAACGATAATATAAAAAATGCAATTAATGTAGATATACTTGGAATTAATAATAGAAATAGAATCTAATAATAGAAATCACTGTTCCAGAAAGTCAGTTACATATCGGTATCGGAGTTCTCCGACCGTTAAACCGTCTGGCTCGGTTATCGGCCGCAGAGATGGAAATATGTAAAACACATTCCTGCCGATATATTCGGCGAGATCAAAGGAATTTCCGCGGACATTCCTTTCTGGAATATTTTGTCTACTCGGTCGCGCTCGTTAGCCGTGTTGCAGTTCGCGCACGGCCCGAGATCAACAAATTCGTCGGTCCACGGGAATTCGCTTGTTTACAAAAATCGATACGTTTCCTTTGAAACCATCGAGCATACAAGCAGACACCCGCTACACGTTCGTTTCCGCGCGCGTAAACATTGTCCGCGCGTCATAAATGCTTCATTCGCGAAAACAATGTAATAATAATAATAAAATCATTAACGCCGTAATGCAACACCACAAGGACGAAACATTCGACGCCAGAGCCGTCGAGCAATTGAAGCGTCTAAAAATGTCGATTTCCTTCGAAATTCGAACCGTTTTCGCGAGCTCCCCCATCTTCGCCGTGTCTAGAATCGCGAAACAGAGATTTTTAAACGGATCGCTTCCGGAGCCTTTCACTCCAGAGAAACGTGCCCGATCGCTTTGACCCGTGAACGAGTCAAGTGTCCCTGTGTGCGGCCGCGCGGCGGCATTACGGATAGTTGGCGCGCGTTAACGATCACGGAACGATTCGGCGGATTATAAAAGGCGGGGGGGAGTGAACGGCGGGACGAATTTATTAATAAATCGAAGGAGGGCGGGAGAGGAGAGAGGCCTTTCGAGCATATGACGCGGGCAGGGTTCGATCCGGATCGCGATCGACCTGTCGACGGACGCGAGCGTCACCGGCTAACTGGACGCGCCGCGCCGCGCCGCGCCGCGCCGCGCGATCCCGTCGGTTATTAGGTAATAGTGGATCCCCTTGTCGAGGATGCTTCGACCCTGATGAGGCTAATAAAAGTGACATCATTATCGCTCGCCGCAACGAGCTTTTAACCTACGTGGCTCGCTCTGATTTTCATAATCTGGTTCACATCGCCGGTGCCTCCTCTCTCCATTAAATCTCTCGGCGGCGTCTCTTTCCCCTGTCTCTGGCCGACAACCGATTTTCCTTCGTTCCTTACCGATCGAACCGGTCTACGCGCGTTCCCGCGAAATTCACCCTTCGCCGCACGATTTCGTCGTAATCGGACTCGTCGCGACTACTTTGTCGCTAACTCGTCGAAGTATTTTATATCGATCCTACGTTTGTTCGGTTCAGTCTTGCCGGTCGCACCGGCTGGAAGACGGGCGATTCTAGTTCCACGCACTGTTATGGGTTCTTATCGAGACTCTTAAGGGTTCGAATCGTGCCCCGCTCAAGTTTCGGTTCGATATCGATGGGAATCCCAACCGGGGATTCTAATTGTTATCCCACTGGCGCGAAACAGTGCCGATTGTCGCTCGAGAGGCACCATTCGCGCTGGAAACCCTTGGGTAACGGTAGCTAGAGCCGTCGATTCGCGAGACGAATACCGGTAGCTCTACCGATCGATCCACGGAAATATAACGCTCCGGAACATGCTACACCCGAAGAACCGATGAACCGATCCACTGGAATTCAAAGACATTCGCGAGACGAATACCGGTAGCTCCACTGATCGATCCACGGAAATATAGAGCTCGGGAACATGCTACACCCAAAGAACCGATGAACCGATTCACTGGAATTCAAATACACTCGCGAAACCCATGACTGTAGCCCTCGAGTGACTCAGAGGTCCCTCGAGATCGGTCTTTCCCGCGTGCTCGCGGAGGACGGGCTCGATCGGGCCGAGGGACTCGTATTAATATTCCTACTATCCTTGGATGAGGTAAGCATTTAGAGAGCACACACCGCGGCACCACGGCTAGAGGGTAAAAGGTGTACGTACCCCCCACCACGCGAACGGTTCGCCTTCGCAAAAGTAGACCGACGGAGGTCACACTACACGGCTACGAGAGCCACGTCAGCTGGAAGTGATCCTCCGTGTATCTCGATGAATCCGACGCGACGCCTCGCCGGGCTCTCGTTGCTCGCTCCTCTTCCTGCCGTCGGCTCGAACACGATTCATCGGCGATCCCGCGCGATCCGTGGGCCCCGGACAATCGAGGCATTGAAGGAAACTCCTCGATCCTCTTCAGTGATCTCTAGACTCGCGGGATTTTCTCCCCTCGGCCGTTTCCGGGTCTTACGTTCGAGAGAGATCCTCTTTCCGTTAAGGCCAACGCTGGTTTCAGTTCGATGATTTTCCGCCGAGCTATCGATGGCCAACGGTGGCTGCCGATTCGAGGCAACGGCCGTCGAGAATGTCGAGCCGATCTTGCTACCCTTCTAGCTTGCTCATGTTCCTTAATGATCTTTTCAAATGAATAGCATACTTCCGTGTATGCTTTATTATGTATTAAATTAAGCTAAGGGAGAAAACCTCCCCTTAAGTCTGAGCACTTGAACCTAGACGCGATATTACGTTGGATTCCAAGGATTCGAGATCTAAAGGAACCGGTATCTTTCGCGTTGCTCGGTTCGGTCGAATTGGAGCTGCCTACTTCGATATCCGATGACTCGGATCGTCTCTAGAGAGTGCACGATCGAATGTTGCGAACGCGCTTCGAACTTCTTCCCTAGTCTCAGTCCAGCTGAGACATTAGTCGGCCAATTAAAGCAGATGATCGAGGTCCTCCAATTCTCGCGGAGGTAGGTTCGCCACTTCCCGATCCGCATCCTCTGATTCAATCGAGCAGGCAGGCCAGAGATCAGTGACACCAGCCTCTCCTTCCTTCTGCCCGCTGAACCCGGCGCAGCACATTTGAATTCATTGAACGTCATCAAGGTATTAGAACTATCCGTAGGCGTCCAACTCTCTCGAGCAGGCGCTTCTGCGACTGGAGGCATTGTGCCCGGCGCACTCGGAAGCGAGCCGCGGAGTCCGCTTCTCGGAAGCAGAACACCGAGGTGTTAGTCACGCGGAATTCTCGCTCTTATTCCTTGTCACGATCGTTAGCGCCCGGACAAACGGACGGGCCAAACTGACTCACTCCTGATTTCTTCTGCTCGTAATTACCCG